CGCTGCTGAGCTTAGTGCAGCCGAGCAAATGAAGCAGAAACCGTCAAGTTCTGTGGTCTGATTTCGATAATTGATGCAGCCGTGCGTTTTCTTCCCACGTTGTTTAGGATGGAATGCGGCCGTCAACAGTCGTTATGTTGGCTCGCCTGCGCTGCCGATCTGTCGATCATCCCATAGAGATATACATACTTTGTCGCTATGTGCTATCAGATGGGGACACATCCTGTCGATCAGAGTCAGAAATCTGAAACATCTTTTTTCACCTGTCACGAACGTGAACGAATGTTCGACAGCGCATTGAAGTGATGCTGACAAGCTCAGACCATCTACTTGGTTTGTCGAACTTGAACTGACAGGCAGCATCGTGTTTGAGTAAGCAATGATCAATGCTGACTGCAGACGTTGCTAGATTTCTTACGGAGGGCGAAGTCACTATCAATTGTTGTGGAAGACGCAAGCCCTCCTGAACGTTATTCAAGCTGAGCTCTAGGGCGTTTGAGAAATGTTGAACATTCCAATATCCTCCATCCCATTTTACGAGTCAGTGGAGACGATCTGAGAGCCATGTTTCTATTCTGGGAAAGACCTTGTGAGCGTTCCTACGTCCCAGGTCACGTCTCTAAAGATCTGGAGGCGTCCAAGTGCCCTAGAACAGCTCCCATTGTCGAACCAGACTATTTCGCCTTCTGCAGCATCAGCGACAGCATGTAAGGTGGGAGGCAACACACTAATTACCTTTTTAACACCTGCCAAACTAATTAGTACCTGCCTGACTGGGAAGCTGTCATTCTTCCGGTGCTTAACCTGTGACATCGTGTGACCCTGTCTGACCCGTGGTGACCTCTGTGACCCCCGTGGCACCCATAAGACATGGCTTATGGCTTTGGTCTAAAGTTGCGAAGGCTGTCGCGTGCCACCGCACTTACATTCTGATGGATGCGGTTTAGGTACGGAATATTCAGAGGAAAGGAAACAAACGCGACTTGCTGGTATATTGTGGCACGTTTCGCCTTCAGTTGTGACCTTGCATTAACCAGCCTTTTCGTAGTTCATATTGTTTCCCCTATCCTTCCTTACAATTGAAGTAATAATTTCACTTTTTATCTTTTTTTAACTCTGTCTTATTGCGAATCATTTTTATGTCTCCTTACCACGTTCTTGTGAGCGTTGTATTTCGAACTATCTCCCATGTTTCGTACATTGACTTAGATAAAACACATTTTACAAATGGAGTGCCACTTATTCTGATATCGTGCTCGTCTGTTGACTCACCGCTAGGTACGTTTACTAAGTCCCTGATTGATTTGAGGCAAGTCTGAAAATCTGAACGCAAATACCTGAGCTCCTATCAGCTTCCAAACATTCACGCGTGCCCGGGATTTTAACGATAACATTGATTGTGACTGGGCCTGCTATCGTATCAGACAGGACCAGATAGTGCGCGCTTCAGTAACTGCTACCGTTTTGTCTGTGCGGTTGTTCAGTTTAAGTGGTGTGCTGTGGTGCTGTGCTTGCTATTCTCTGGTTGAACTGACGAGTGACGGTATATTTGTAAGTGAAGCAGAGGGATAGTGTTGTGATCGATGCGACCTTAATTTTTCCTTCTCGGTAAGGTCGTGATTTGAATGTGTGAATGTGTCATCATCCTTGAAGATTTGTTGTGACTGGGAATTCTTACATAAGTGAGATGAGTTTGTGTTCAATCTGATATTGTGATTTCAGATTTATAGTTAATATGTACATTTTCCCTCTGCATCTCTCTCTCTTCTCTCTCTCTCATTCTCCCCCTCTCTCTCTCTGTCTTTCTCTCTCTCTCTCTACATTTAACTCACACCACTTTGTTGTCTACCACTCCAACTGCAGGTCTGCAGCACTACGACCCACGCACTACCTCTCCATTTCCTCATTTCCCACATCATCACCTGACTTTAATATCCTCTACACGCTCTATTGCTCACTGCTCACCATGCTCTCAAGCTGTCTCTTGTCTTTACTCTCCCTCGACATCCGCTACCATCCGTCGACCACCCGGTGAGAGCGTGTCCAAACTTCAGCCTACACCGTGTCTAACCATCTCTCACACCGTGTCTGACCATCTTACACCGTGTCTGACCATCTCCACACCGTGTCATCGCCTTCGCAAAGCCGACGGGCTGGTTTTGCTCGCCTCTGCGTGTGTTTGTGTGTCTGTCTAGTGCGTGGTCTGTGGTATGCAATGAGAACAAAATTATACAGTAGAGCCGGGAAATCAGACAAAATTCAGCGAATTCTCACGGACATTGATATGCACGTTCTTCAAGCTTGGTGAATGATAGATGCTTTGATTTTGCTTAGCTGAGTTCAGGTTTATGCAGTGTAATAAGGCATTATGCTCTTACCAACGGACAGGAGACAGTAGCAAAATGACGTAGTGCATACTATATTTCAAGCCCCACTTGGTTGGCTGCTCGTTTGAAGCCATCGCTGTCACTCCATATGCAGAAATTGAGGATGAAGGAGGCATTGAACACTGGGAGAGGCAAAGCATACGACATAGATGAGTAGTGGACGCGAAGGAGACACGAAGAGACATGCGAGAGACATGTAAGAGACGTTGGAAAGTGCAGACTCCCAGAGCAGAGTGGGGACGCTTCGACTCGAGTGACGAGTATGTGTGTTCATGTGTCCGTTCCGCTATCTCCCGCGTCTGGGACGGCCAGCGTGAAACGGCCCATCGGCCGTGCTCTCTCTTTGAACGGAATACGATTAGCTGTCCCCACCAACCGGCAGCTTTGCCACCTGGACTGGCCAACGCCTGGTCCGGAGAACTGAACGGTAGGGCGGGGCGGAGCGGGATAGTCACTGCGTGTTTGTGGGCTCGCGCGGCCGCAGCGAAAGTAATGTCACGAGAGAAGTGGGCTAACCATTCCTGTGGTCAACTTAGATTTGTGTGTTGGTTATGACTGAAAGGCTCACTTCATGAAACTAGCCAGTGTTCGACGCGCCGGGTAGAGCCTACGTGTATCTAGCTAACCACAATCTGTCCATTTAGATTGACTTGCAATGGTGGAAAGCCGTCGTATTGTGGGCTGATTGCTAATAAGTGAATCTGAATCTTAATCTGAATCTAGATAAATTCGTACACTTTTTGGACGTGTATTATTTGATGTGCATTAGATACTCTTACTTATGTGCAACATATACCCCTCGCTAGTATTTCACCTGACTACGAAACGTCATCCGCACTTCCCTAGCTGACAAGCACCCGCACCCTGCCGTGACGGCCCATCCCACCAGCACCCGACTGTGAAGGTCACGGAGTTCACTCACACGGCACGTGCCCGGGTCGCTATTGGTCCCATTGTGGCACCTGCACGCTGGACTGCCTAGCGGAACTGCCACGGGCGGCAGAGCCGTTTCTGCGTGGGTGAACTGAGTAGGGGATCCAGAGCTCCTTAGAGCAGCAGACCGTGCAGGAGCTCTGAATAGAGCCTGGGGTGCGTTGCTGGTTGTCTTTGTGGTTAAGGGCTCTGATGGGTCTGCCATGACTTAGACCGCCATGACTAGACTCCGTTATGATTCCGCTTAATCTATCCGTTTCCTTTAGCCTGGCTCATGACGCTATCATGCGTCCTTCTGATTAGCTGATTGTTTTTTTTTATCTACATGAGTAGATATGTCTCAGCACAGCCTCATTACCGAACTACTTATCTCACTTGTCGTGAAATCAACCAAGGACTTTTCGCCTGCCTTGGAGAACATGGTCAATGGTCATGACTTTGAAATACATTGGGATGTGTGAATATTAAATAGCCGAAGCTCAATAGAACTTCTTTCGAGGCGTAACTTTTCATCGAATCATTGACATCTCTTTGATGTGTGATGCTTGATGAGGCGATGCTTGATGTATTCGTCTGAAACCTTTAAAGTTTGCTCGACGACTGTCTCTAATAGGTCGTTCCATTCAGTGTCTGAAACGACGAAGGTTTTACCTCTCCCTGGCGGCAGAAGTCAACCTTTGCTTCATTCAGTGCGACTCCGTTCTTGGCTCTGAGAACTCGCTCTTGACGGCACCTGTGCATTTTCTGTGCTTGGAATGCAAAGTTGGCGCACCCAGCGGATGTTTACAGAGCGGTCTCTGAGGGCGCTTTTGCGGTCGTGGATCGGGGGCTGGAGGAATGGGAGCTGAATCAGAATGGGGTGGTTGGGGACAAAATGGTGTGTTCAAAAGCTGGGATGGTAGCGAGTTGATTTTAGCATCATAGCATAATTTTAGCATCCATTTAGCAAGTTATCTTAGTGGACGAACTTCTTCGCTGGATTTGATGTGTGTCTAGCGCTGTGACCAGATTAAACGGAAAAGATACACGAAATAAATAAATGGACTACCTACCGTGTTTCTGGTGACACTTTTTGGGTGATTTGAATGAGCGGCAGAAGCAGGGATAATTTTGATATAGCTTGTTGAGCGCTGACATTCATCTTTATGTACGTCTTTTTCTCTATCCAGCCGCGGGTTTTATGTGTTTACTCGATCGACCCGTCCCTGTTACGTTTTTATGCGTCTTTTTGTCCCATGTTTTACTGACGTCTATATTGACTTTCCGTTTTTTCTGACTTGTCCCGACTTCCGGCGTCGTTTCCGGAGTCAGGTCCAACGTCACCAGCTTGGTGATACGTGACTCAGTAAGACCCATTGTGGCAGTTTGTGGCACTTTGTGAGCGGGAGATGAGCTGGAACTTGATATGTTGTTACCTGAATTATGCTACCTTAAGTGTGTTACCTGAGCTATGTGACCTGACCTTTGTGACCTGACCTGACCTGACCTGAGCGATGTGGCATCTTGACTTATGCTGCGTAAGCCATCTTAACTGTTAAACTTTATCTGTATTACCGTGTTTCCTAACCTGTGTTACCTGGTATGACGTCTAACGCTGTCTGATTCGGTGTGACCTGACCTGCTGCGACCTCACTCAATATGACCTGACATTACCTGACCTAACCCTGCGCTCCGTTTCAGGAGTCTGCCCCCGGTCAGGAGCGGAAGTCGGTGGTGTTCAGTGAGCCAGAGGCGGAGGTGCGTCTGGCCGCTGAACCCTCCGAAACGCCCGAGGACCTTGGGCCGACCTCGACCCAGGTCACCGATCAGGTCACCAGCTGCGCGACCTCTACGACCAGCATCGACGGAGGCTACCAGGGCGACAGCGAGTTCGACACAGGTGAGGTCACGGGAGAGGAGTAAATGGGGAGTAAGACGTCTACCAGGGCGACAGCGAGTTCGACACTGGTGAGGTCATGGGAGAGGAGTAAATGGGGAGTAAGACGTCTACCAGGGCGACAGCGAGTTCGACACAGGTGAGGTCGTGGGAGAGGAGTTATCGGGGAGTTAGGCGTCCACCTGGTAGACGCCTGGTGGTAGACTCTACCATGGGGCGACAGAGGAATGAACAGGGAGTTGGGCGTCTACCAGGGCGGCAGCGAGCTCGACACATGCTTTGCTAATTTACCTTCGTAACTGCTTTTTGGTTGTAGAAACATCCGCAATAATCCGTCTATTTGTTATCCCTCTTCTAAACACTAGTTCGTATACTGCATTCCTTTCATGTCCTCACTTGTATCACTGGATGTGAAAACGATTCCCTGGAAGCGGTTGCAGATTAGGTGCTAAGAAGAAACACTTAATTTGCATGAATGCGCGCCTATCACCCTTGTTTTATCCCGCAACTACACTTGCTTGGAATGAAGGGTACAAAACAATAACACCTCGCAACTTTGCTTAATCCGATCGACACATCTTTCTTCCGAGAACGCAACGCTGGATAGGTACTGCTGAGTAATGCGACAACAACGACGCTCGGATAATGTATTTGAGACATTTGTCTTCTACTGTCGCTTATCGACATTTCTTAGAATTTGGCTTGAGAACAGATCGCTGAGCAAGTAGAAACATCCGTGTATCTGATGGATCAAAGTACTAGGCATTACAAAAGAATAACAAAATATCAGTAGAGTTTCACTTCCTACCGAAGTAATGGGCCTAATAGCTGTGTTAACACCGCAGTTTTAGCCGTGAGCGGACCAAACAGGAACATTTCTTCTTAGCCCTTACTTTACCTTGCGATCCTTACAATCAGGACTCGGTCCGACGGCCCAGTTTCATGACCTCAGGCTCGCCTGCCGTGAGGCACGTTTTGAGCACATCGGGAGCTTTCATGTTCCTCGAAGGGCCGGCGGCTGCACGTTCCAACATTGTTGGCAGTAATAAGATCGTCGGAATCCCCCACACATTCCGTGGCTGACCGACCTGCCCAGCCGGAATACACAGCCAAATGCGCGCCATCTGCTGTCTCTGCCAGCTAGGCGAGGCATTGCCATCTTCACTATACAATACATAGGGGAGAGCGGGGCCAGTTGAACCACTTTTTATATATTGACATGCACAGCGAGATCTAGTTGTCGTATCGAAAAATGCACAATGCCATGAAAAAATATGCTCTTTTGGCTTTATTTTAAGATATGTAAAATTATGTTTCAAACATATTTTGCTGCCAAACGCATGCTTATAAAACAGCTCTACGCCCGTTTCAAATGACCCCGATGCGAGGGTCAATTGAACCAGCCCATGGGGTCAATTGCACCTATCCTTAACAATGGGATGGTTTCCTCTTTAAGGCCACTTTCTTAAGGAGATATTTTGTCCGGTTTACTTTTCCAAGTGCTACATTCAATAGGTCGTTGGAGAGCTAAAAGTGCAAAGTTCCTCATAATAGGTGACATAAAGTACATAGACTATGGTAAAATGGGCGGTTGAGGAAAATGAGAAATATCTCAGGCTTTAGTGTGCTTTCAAGCAAAAGGCTGGAGAAAAAGGGGTCAAAAATTGAAATCTATTAAACTACTATTTCAGTTTAAAAGCTCATTTCAAAGGTGGACTATTTCCTTTAATGTTTACAGCCCCTGAACAATAACCATTGCAAAGGTCACCGGGGTCCATTGAAACGGCCTGTGGCCCTGTTTCAACTGACCCTCAGAGAAACGTTTCAATTGACCCCATCCGCTCCCGCCATCTCGCACGCGCCGTAAAGCACATGTCAAACGAGCTGGAGGGACGGCATCATGCTGAATGAAGGGCCAAATAAGGTGTTATTCCGGAGCCAGGAGTTCTTCTTTCAGCAAACAAAGGTATATGAGATATCACAAAATATTCATAACAACGATTTCTCCCAAACGCCCCTCAAAAACACAAAAACAAGTGTCAAATCAAAATTACCGTCCGTTTGCCGCCCAAACGCCGTTGACAAAGGAAGTGGTCGAGCGCGGATGCGCAGTGGTGTCGGCAACGCCATATGTTGCATACTGTTGAAAATAAAGCCATGTTTCATCTGACCCCGTGTTTCAACTGGCCCCGCTCTCCCCTACATATATGTGTTTGGTTACTATACATATATGTAAAACATTTTTTCATATATATAGCCTGAAACTGTCCATTGTTGATGCTCCGATGAATATTATATATCACAGCTATTTAAGGGAATGTTTTTACCAGCTAACTGACTAAAAAACAAACTTGCTATGGCTCGTTTTGCTGCGGGCGCCACGTGCAGGGGCTCTCAGACATCATTTGCGACCTCTCGACTCGGCAAGGTCATTAGGTCATTCCGTGGCCGCCGCAGGTCAATCACCATACTGGGTGCGTCCCGGGACCGGTTCACTGCGACGGCCGGAAGCCACTCCGCTCGTCCTGAGCTTCACCACACCTTCAGTCTCTCCTCCAGCCGACACACCCTTCAGACAGTGACATTCTATCTGGCATCACATCGCTCAGCTGGCAACTCAGCTGCCGACCCGGCGCGGTGGGCAACAACACTCTGTTGATTTCGCGGCGGCTGCTGCTGCTGCTGCCAAGATCGGCGTTCCGTGGAGATTGTTCTGCGGATTTGATTGGGGTTGGCGGTGGTGTTTGTGTGGGGTGTGAGCTCATCATTACACCGCAGCGATGCGGGTTCACGTATCTCCAGTCGGAGGTGTAGACAGACGTGTGGCTTTTTACGAGTCTTCGGACATGGAGTGAATGGGTCTCAAGTGTTTGCTCGTGGAAAACATAACTAGGGAAAATATTTTTTTTCGCATGGATATCCAAGAAGGACCCAACCGACTTAATCCAATGACATTCCGCTGGAGAAGTGTGTCTCGCACGGCTGGAAAATGTGCATGCAAATGTCAATATCTTTTTGTCACTTTCATTCTTGTGCTTTGAAGAGCTAGTCATTGAGGTAATACTTTTTGTAAGATATCGCTCAAGAGAGGCTGCAGTCTGCAATTCAGCGGCGTATCGCCATTAGTCAAAGTGATCACACATTTATGGGCCACCGCAGACTCATTCAAGCTGATGAAGCAAGGGAAACCTTCAATCAAACCTTGCTTATGTCGCTGAAACTACACGACGTGCCTGTCGGTAAACCCGAAACATGTCTCGTGACGCGTTAAATCCTTCCTGGAAGCTGTCGGCGCTTTCTATTTGGGTCTGGCCCGGTCGTCAATCTCCGTGCGCCATCCGCCTGGCTGTGGCGCTCCGTCTTCTCACACTTCATCGCACAAATCGGCTCGTGGATGCCTCTCTCTTGGCCGGTTTTCATCGTCAGCTCTCTGCTCTCGTTTCGTGTTTCGTGGCGTTTGCGCCACCGCGAAGCCACGCCTGAGGCTCTGGAAGCTTTAGGGATTAATGACCTCGTGGACAGCTAATTAGTTGCCAGTGTGGTGTCTGGTAAAAGGCCGTCTAACGACGGCTCATCTGAAGTAGACACGCTGCTGCTGGGTGTGTTTATTATGTGTTGTCAGGCGCTGTGGACCTCCATGACTTGTGGTTAGCTGGTGCTTTCATTCGCCGCCGTCCGAGACATGAAACAGGCTGGCTGTCACTGAGTCCCAACGCATAAGCCTGTCCCATGCTGCTATGGGATGCCATGCAGTCACGCGTTGCGTGCAACGTGAATGTTGAAGGACGTGTCCGTTAAATAGATAAGGATGGATCAAATTACTTTGAAATGATCATGAGTTGAAAAGTACCCGGTCTTTTCAAGCCACTGGCCTCCGACATAGAATCTCTGGTTTAGGATAGCCATTCTGGGGCATCCGTTATGCCAAGGCAGCACGGCGTAGGTAACAAAGCATGTAGATGGTCCTTATCTTGTAAATTTCTGCAACCCGTAGTGCCCAGTTGGCGTATACAACTGTTGAAACTTTGTATGGTTAATCGCTGTCGTCGATCGCTATTGTTGAACTTATATATGGTGGTTAAATACAATTACCATATTCAACACTGCTTTGGTTGTCTCTTGCACGCCTACGGTTAGACATGAGCGACATCTAATACGAGTAGCTCTCTCGAAGATATCGGCAATAGTGGTGGGCCCTAGTAAGCTTGACAGGTATGTACTGGATGCAGTTTCGACGCATTTTGTTGCAAGAAATATATGATCGTGATTGAATCATCAATCTTTGAAATGCTGTCGCATAATTTTCAATTAGAGGCAAGCGAACAACGGAGGAGTCCACATCAAGCGACGTCACGGTGAACTACACACAATTCCGTCCACGTGATGATGCCCAAACACGCAGCGTGACAGTTTCGTTACGCGCCACCAGCGTTGTAGCCGTCCTCCTACTGTGGAGACAGGCTGACTGACGTGACGCGGACGGCCTGCGGCGTGACGTACCGTCACGTGACGCGTGACGACCGTCACGGGCGTGCTCCGGACTGCGGACACAATGGTCGCCCGACAGGATTACCTGTCAAACGATGATCACGGTGCAGTCGTGGTGAGGGCGCGATGGAGCTGTCAGGCTGCGCGATGTGGCAATGGTGAAATGTCGCCAGAGCGGTAGTGGAAATTATTAGGGAAGAGGTCGTTGTTCATATGGCTGTTCATTCTTCACGCAACCTTACGCTAAAATATTAGAAAAGTGGCACACTATTCATGCTGTTTGATCTTTATATCGGCGACTTACTGTCGTACATTCTGCTAGAGCCTCGCTGTATGACAGATATTCGGCTGAACAGTCGACAACGATCATCTTATTATTTTTTTTTTCTCTCAAACGTAGAAGTCATAGAAAAAACTCAAGTGGTCGTTCGTTCGTGACGACCATCTATTCTATGGCTTCTGGCGTCAGCATTCGGATTACTTTGTGTGAATGTCCTACCTACTCAGCATCTTGTCATCGTCCTCACTTGCCCACCTGTCCCGTCCCATACCATCCAGTCCAGTCCTGCCATGTCGTGCCCTGACCTGATTGCTACCCAACCCAACCCGTCTTGACGCAACTCGACCCGACCTGTTCCATCCCCTCCATTTTCTTTCTTCCCATACTACCCCTTCCCATCCTTTTGTCGTTCCTCCGTCAGACTGCAGGGAGCTCCGTTGGGACGACTGCGTTGTTCCTCGTTCGACGTAACCTTCCCCGTCACCCCCTGGCGCCGGTCCCAGGTCGGGTCGGTCGTATAGGCGCACCATAAACACAGCCGATGGGCCGACGGTCGAACGTTCCCGGGCCCATACTGCGTGCCAGACGAACTCAGGGGAAGGGGAGGGAGGGGGAATCCGGGCTCGAACCTGATGGCGATAGGACGGAAGTGAAGCTGTTGGAGTTTATGTTGTGCACATTCAGTTTAATTTTTGAAAAAAAAGCATAAGAAGGGATAAACAGGAAGCGTAGGGTCGTGGTAACAAATTTTCTTGTTCGTAAAATGCGCCTAGAACTCAGAAGATGTGCCCCAAATTCGTATGAGTTATTACCCGTCCACTTTTTACAACCCCAGCCGTGGTTACTGCAGATGAGCGTCCATTATTTTGTTTTCATTGCTCTTCCATTCTCATCACTCACTATCATATTCCTCACTCATGTTGTATTTGACCCACCATTACCGGTAGTCACACCCGCAGTGACGTCACGCCACCCCTTGTGACGTCACGTGTGGCCCGCCGGCGGCGTTATGTCGCGTGTAATGGTCACACCTGTCCTGTCCGTGCCCGGTGATTGCTCTGATAGGACCGGACACCATGCTCTGATAGGACCGGATGGTGTTCATCGATCAATATTAGTCGGTGGGCGTGATGGGCGTCGGCATAGAGCACAACTGGGACACGCAGAAATGAGGACCGAGAGGGAAATGTGTTGGAAGGGAGGAGCCATGAGCTTTTCACTGAAAACAAAATGACACAAAAAACGACTAAAAACGCACAGGCAGAGCGTGTTAACTAGGCTTTCTTGTGTACCCTGCATCGTGCATTTTTTGACCCGTCACAGACGTGTCAATTTACAAATGTGTTAACCCAGTCGTGTTGTGTCCTAAAACACAATATCATTGTGTCTTCAACACATAAGGCTTGTGTGAATATATATGCAGAATACAAGGTAAATGTGTTACTAAATTTAACACAAATCGCAAGTGAAAGAAGGAAACACGTGGTGATTATGTAGTTTGTTGCCGGGGCGCAGTTGAAGGGACTTTGGCTTTGGCTGGACAGGCTGACCGCCAAAGCCGGGCCCCGAGTGGAATCGGGCGCTCGGGTGCGGTCAGGGCTGAGTACCCGGCCGGCCGACCCATACGGTCAGGGCGCGGTCAGGGCTGAGCACGCGGCCGGCCGACCCATACGAGGCCGCCGACCCATACACGAGCTGGAGTTGCGCCCGGTCGTCCACTTCAGAGCCGAAGGGTGAACGCGTCACGTGGACGGTTCAATCAGAGCACCAAGTAGCGATGCCCCAATTTGGAGGACTACTGTACAATACAGTTGTCCAGACAGCCGGGATAAATTTACAGCCACCGATTTTTCCAAATATATCCTATATAGATCGAGGAGTTTCTTCCTCCAAGCAGACGTTAATTAGCTATGCTTCAGCTTGCACTTGATATAATCAGCGCATATTGCTCTAGACAATTTATCATGTATCGACTCCCTCGGTTGTATTGTGCATTTTGACCTTTCTCAAAACACTTTGGCAAATTTTTACAAAAACCCAGCATAAAAGTCGGTGCTCGAAAAACGCCCTCTATTATCCCCATCTGAAGTTAAGGCTCAGAGGTCGCTCACTGGTGGATGGCACGGTGTATTTGTGCAAGGGTACACGTCTACCATATCCGACAACACATGATTTCGATACACTGATGCATTACACCTTTTTGCACTCAAAATAGGCATCTTTTCATTCAATTTCGGCGAATTGCATTCAATTTTAGCGATCTCTCATTTGCTTCGAATAGAGAGATCGCTGAAATTGAATGCAATTCGCCGAAATTGAATGAAAAGATGCCTATTTTGAGTGCAAAAAGGTGTACATTCGTCCAGCGTGCTTGGCACGATAAAATTGTGTCACTATTCTGTTTTATGTGTTATCAAACGTGTCGAAGGTCCCGCCAAGCGTGAAAATACTCAGCCGTATTGTGTTTTGGGTGCGGTTAACACATGACTGATGTGTTACCAGTACAGAACATGCCCTCACTGTGTCGATTTGTTTTCAGTGTTGTGTGCTGTTGTACAGAAAAAGTTGAAAAGGTGATGTGGGCGAAGGATACCTATTATACAACCAACATCAACAACAGGGTTGCAATAAAGATGGAGTGGTGTGCGGTTACCGGTGGTGTGCCTGTCCCGTAACTCATTTGGTAGAGCATTGGACTCCCGGTGGTGAGAGCCCGGGTTCGAGACGCTCCGGCGCTCGATATTTGAGACTCCTGACGGGGATGGTCTGCGGTTGGTGGGAGCAGCAGCAGCCAGTTGAAGTCAGTTGAGTGGGACAGGCCGTGTTCGGCTTTGAAGGGCACGTTAAACTTTGGCTTCTAAATTCTCCCGATACCCGGAATTGCGCGATTGGACGGTAGGGGTCGGGGTCTACGCAACAAGCTCTGCTTAGCGTGGGCTCTGACTCTGTCAATCCGTCCATTCAATCATTCGAGCTAAATTTATAAAAAAGGTGACTCTTCCAATTGATGCCGTAAGTGGTAGCATCAAGGTGGCATCAAATCAAATGCTTTGCTCTTGTAATTTTGCGTTCAGACAAATGATGTCCTTATACGGAAGTTCATTATATGGAATGCTATGTTTTGACTGGTCACGAGAGGTCTCGGAAATTACCATCATAAAGCGGCTCATTACTCTGGACTTAATTTCGTCGTGCTCCCGACCTAATCTTACAATTATATTTATAAAGGATGTGCAATGCTTGCTGCTTTAATAACTTTGCTATGTTAGATGGCCACTTCTATCGGGCGTTAAATGACGCCGTCCGTTTTTGTCGAGACGACTGCTTTCCGTCGGTGACCTGCGAGCTCGGCAATTACCTCCGAACGTGAGCCGAATTCTGAGCGGCCCCGGGGAAAGTTTGGCGCGTGTTCCGGGCCGCTGAGGGGCGGGGGCGGGAGGGGAGGGGTGTCACGTGACCCGTCGGTGGGTCGGTCGCTGGCGGTGACCCGGCTCGTCGCGGTTCAGACGTGCTGTTTGCGGAAAACAGTCGCCAGGGACGCGGGGTAATTTGGCGCGCCGTGGACTGTTTGGTCTCCCACCGGCTAAAACTCAGCGGAGCGCGGCAAAATCTGGAGCCAAAACGTGGCGCCAAAAAGCCTGGTGGTCTTGGTCGGTGGACCACAAGCTGGTGCTGTGGTTGCTGGTTGGCGCACTGACATGAACTGTGTGACCTGCTGCGATCTGACCTCTGGACTATTCTGGTACGGCGAGGCAGTGTTGGTAAAAAGCTGCAGGTGCAATATCTCTTCAACAAGTGTCGGTCGGCAGTGGTATCCCGGCAGGATAAACAATTAAGATTATGAACCCTTCTTTGTCAACGTCGTTCACTTGCTAACGAAGTGCAGCAGCTGTTCAGTGTTCATGCTTGATATTTGTGCATCTGTCCTACGTAATTTACAGCTTGAGCCGGGTCCCCTTTATTTCATTATTTGTAAACCATTGTCATTCATTATGTGGCGCCGTGCCGGCTAATTTTGACTGCAAGGCATGAGCCGACTCGTTACAAACCAGACTCGTATTGATGGGCTCCACTGCGAGCACCTCTGTGACATCGCCGGCACTATTTATTAGTGGTTGCCAAGCAACGGCGGTGCTATTTCAAACACATAACACTGCTGACATTGTATGCAGTGACAGTGAATAAACACCATAAAATATGCGCCTTATGTGGGTACGTTCCGTTCACTATGACGTGTTGCATGGGTGGACGACAACAAACAACATGTGTTGACTGTCTCGGTCACTTCCTTTCACATGTTGAACCAAGCAGAGTAGTTAAAGGATATATGGGATGTGATACCGTGAGGACGAGAACGAGGACGATGAACGCTGAATAGGAACACGTTTTCAATCCTACATACGCTGCGGAACTTGCGTGACCTACAACAGGAACCGATTCTTACAGCACGCTCAGGGGGAGGTTATAAGCTTTCCGGAAGCAAAACTCCTTCATGAACCGGTACCGAAGTGAGAAGCTCCTGTAGTGCCTGGTCACATAAGAGTGATCCCACGCAACTTGTTTTTCCGGTAACCTGGTGGCCTCTCATGGGGGGGGGGGGTGCATACCGGTCCTCCCCCTCTATTGTAGTGGGGGGGGGGGGGCAGAACGCGTGCCGCTGACCCAGCGCACTGTGCCTTACATGGAAGCATCGCAATCCCTGCAACCCGTGCCTTTCATGTTGACTTCCAGCTGAAGCTTAAGACATAGGACCAACTTGAGCTGATTGGCTTGCTCCTTCAGACTCCTTCAGAATAATTGTCAGATGACTTTGTGTATTTAGATAACCGTTGAAAATGAACGTGTTTCACGCCTCGGTGCTAACTGTGGTCGATTTTGAACAAAAGCCGTCAACTGTAAGATATTATACGTGTTGAAACTGATACATATCACTGTTGTGAATCCGAAACTTCAGCACAAAATTCTCTCGTGACCGCATGTGACCTCTCTGCCCCCAGGCACGCCGAACGAGGACCCGACTCGACCTCCGCCGCGACTGGACGTCCTCACCGACTCTGACTTCTGCAGCGAGGGAGCGGCCGGCACGGAGTCAGAGGCTGAGCATCGACTCACTGACGACATGGAGTCGAGCGGAGTCTACTCGGACGCCGAGTCGCGCCGCTCCGTGGAGCCCGATCGTGAACCGGTGAGTCAAGGAGTTGGGGAGTTGAGACGAGTTGTAAGATTGAGTGGAGTCGGTTGACACGGGGAGTCAGGTGGCCTGTAAGTTGTTAGGAGCGGGGGACCTGTGCATCGGTAAATCTGAGGGGAAGTTTTTAGCCGGGGCTGGCGGGTGAGTCGTGGGTGAGTCAGCGAGCATTGACGAATCGGAGCCATCATAGGATGGGCCGTGGTTCTTGGGGTTGAGTTGGGGAAAATGAGCTCAGCTTAGTAGGCATCGACCTTTGAACCGCGGTGATCGCTTCAACCAAGCGTTATCCAATGTGATATTCATTCCTCAATGCATTCAATTCGTATTGCTTTATCCACCTTTATCTTTTCAAGAATTTAGACGTAACAAGAATCGCCTATCCTCAATGTTCATCCAAGCGAGCGGCTTGTAACCGTCAGGTAGCTCACGGATTAAAAGGCCAACAGAACCCATCCGCCATGGGTACCGGGAATCGCTCAGCCATCCCGACATAGCTAATGCATTGGCCGGGTGTCGTGTGCCTTAGCAAGACATTGCACAGACACTAGGGTCAGCCGATAAGTACGTTTTCCGTGTTAGCCCGCCTGCCCGGCTTTCGTAAGTGAACAATGACCTTTCAGTGACCCGGGCTTTGACGGGGTCATGTCGGTGACGAGGGACAGACGATGACAAATTGTCATTCGTTAAGAGGACGACCATGACCAATAGAGTTCAGGGCTCATGCGACTTGTCACCGCGGCTAAAGGCTATGTCGCTCTTGACCGCGGCTTTCAAGGGTTATAGATAGGTCATCGATTGTCTGAGCTGATATCTAGCAGAGCATTGGGCTTCGACCTTCAATTCGTGGTCAAGTTCAATGTCGCGTTATGTGTCTGAAACGTGGTAGATTTGAAATTAGTGCTGCCTTTTCAATGCACTATGTTAATGAAGTGGGGCATCTCTAGAACGAAATTGATGGTGTTTATTTGGACTTGGTGCGTAAAAAGCTGTCCTACGCATTGCAAGTGTACTTGGATTTAATTAGAAGATCCCTTCGTGTTAGCCTTCCCTGTCACCCTCCCGTACAAGACCATACATGCATCTACGAGCAACTAATTGAACGGACGTCTCCTAATCACTTTCATTCACGTACGTGAATAGAAGACGCCGCCCTCGCTCTCCTTGCACCTCACTGTGCATCACTAGACCAGCGAACGGATCCAAGGCCGTTCCTTGGCCTTCGCCCCGGCACTCCGGAGGTTACACTCAACAAAGATGCGGTCCAGACGTGGTGTAAAACTACCCCTGAACAATGGTAACTGAGCTTTTATGCACGTCAACATCGCAGCTATGTCCTGTGGGGGGGGGGGGGGCATGACGGAAGGCTGAAGGGTGGTTTGGCGGGATTCCTGACGTGCTACACCAGAAGGGTGGTTCACACCGACCCACGCGGGATGTGTTGAAGAGGAGTTCCCACCGGTGCGGTGTATCGAACTCTGTGGTATCGTCTCTGTGATCCGCAGACTAGGATTATGGCTGTAATGTGGCGGGATATGTCCTGATGTGGTTATGTAATGATAAGATTTCGTTGAACATCTGTATTCTGCAGGAATTGGTTACCGGATAAGGTTTTCTATATAAGTGAACTTTGCAAGTTTCAGCGTACATTTTCCAATGCCGTCTTGCTGAAGTGTTTTGTGTGAAGTATTTTTTAGCTGATATTAGTATAGTACCACTTACGAAATTTTTCAGCCCACATTGACTGCGATTGTTTTTTTTTTGTCGCAGACCGTTTCTGACACACACCGTTTCTGTCGCAGATCGAGGCCATAGAAGAGACTGAGGAGACGACACTCACTCCTGTGAGAGAATCTGCCTCCGAGCTGGAGTTTCCGCCTTCTGCCGAGTCCACCCCCTCCGCCGCCGCCGCCACTGCCACTTCTGCCGCCCCCGCCACCGCCGCCGCTGCTGCCGCCACCCCGGAGCCAACGCCGCCGGCCCGTCGTCGTGACCCGATCCCGAGTCACGTGGTCCGCGCCCGCGAGCCGCCGCCCAAGAAGGAACCCATCAAGATGAACCACCCGCTGCCGCGCAGAAACGTCCAGAGCAAGCTGCGCTCGATGCTGGAGTCGCCCTCTCCGGCGGCGGAGGCGGCGGCGGCGCGGCGGCCGGCCCGGCCCGCTCGCAAGGGCCGCTGGGACGCTGTGATGAACCGAATCGAACAGAATAAGAGTGAGGAGAAGACGCGACCTCGGAGAGAGGTGAAGAGCAGGCTGTACGAAGGCGTGACCCCCGCCAAAGGCACCCAGAACGGCTCCCGGAAAAGTCTCAGGTGAGTGGGGAGAAGGGGAAACGGGCGGAGGGGGAAGGGGAGGAAGGAAACGCATGAAAAAACTCTGAATTTTTCTTTGATTGCCGGAAAGGAATTTTTGCGAGCTCTTGAAAGGAAAAACACATCGAAGTAACGAGCATCAAACAATCCTGTATTTTGTTATACGCAGAATTGGGGTCCTGTATCGATATTTTGAGCCATGTATCGATTTGTCAAGCGTAGTAAAGAATGCAGCTTTTTTGTAGCTGGTCCTCGTCGTTTTCACTTTCACATTCCTTTTGATGTAAATCAGATGGATTAGTAACCTTTTGCTCATAACTAATGTAAGCCAAAAACAAATCCAAAATATATTTTCGGTGCTGGACCTTCTTCAGTGGAATCAAAGGTTACTAATCCATCTGATTTCAAGGTTACTAATCCATCTGATTTCCATTATAATCATAATCATGCTCAAAAAAACGTTTCACACCATTCAATCATTCCTTTTGATGTGGTCCATTTTTATTCATTTCTTTGAGCCATTCTAGCTCCTTGCTTTCTTCATGTACTGATTTTGGCCATTAAACTTGAAGAACCCGTATTTATGACTAGGGCCGAACTGACGGCTGAATTAATCATGTGGGCGAAACCCTGTCTGCCTTCCATTGGACCGGTAGCCGGCGGGCGTCACTCCGGTGGCTTTCCACGTGAGTTTGTGGCTGCCGGGTCCGACCCGCGGCCCGCCCGAGCCGCCTATTACCGCTAATGGGCCAATGGCGTAACACCAGCCTGCCCTGAGGGTAGCTGCGCGGCGTCTTCGCTGCTTGAACGGGCACTGGGGCGCTCGAAGACTGGCTAGTAACTGTGGCGTGTTTTGTCTGTTGGGTGCTTCCGACCACTCGACCGGAAATCTGCCCGACCGTTCGACCGCTCGCCCATCCGACCGGCCGACCGCCCGGCGGGAAAGCCACGTCGACTGGCGCGGCGGTGGACGTGGTAGCCGGTGGCGGCTGGATTTCACTCTTCATCGGGTCAGCGCGTGTCTGTGTGGAGCCCGCCGGTGGTCGAGGAGCGTGACCGTGTGTCGGCGCAGGTTTTGTTGAGAGAGAGGAAGGTCGTGACCCGATGCGGTCGATGTTAGCGGTGTGTACAGAACACGGCGTGTGGTGCATGGACGACCTGCTGACAACGTTAACGGTCTGCTGCGAGCGGAATGCGAATGAGGGGGCTTTCGGACACAAAAGGGCTATGGTTACAAGCCCATATCACCGACCTGCCATATGTGGATAGTTGGGTATTTGGGATATTCGATAACTATCCTACATGTTGGGACTGATGCATACAATTTGTCAAACATTGCAGGTCCTTTTTGACCTCCTGTAAATATGTGGTTGTCTGAGTATGTATTTCTGTAGCTTCTCTAACTTCTGAGATACCAATGCCGTAACAATTATGTTATGTAGGAGACTGTGTGAAAGGCTGGTACCCTCTCAGAGTTTCTCACATTCACAAAGCACGAAGCATTGGTTTGAGTACCTTATGAACCAGGCTTCAACACTGCAAACTCGGGGCCGTGATCCAACAGACTGTTTGGTCGTCATGAACTGGGGCATATTCCCCGAAGCCGCATGCATCAGTGAAGATTATTGGAGTGGCATGAGCTTAGCTAGGCGGAAGACGGACGCTAACCGGATTTCGTGGGAGACATACCATTTCTCATGGCAACTCCCCACTGCATCGTGGTGAGGCTTTACAAATTGCACGGGCAGAGATGAGTCGAAATGCATGAAGGTTAAGCTTTATGGCTTTCAAATTTGTGGTTTTGTGTCAACTTAGTTGACCGAAGCCTTTTGCTATTTTATGAGGGATCCGGAAGCGTTTGTTCCCATTATCTCAATTCGGTCAAGCGTTATTGAATTTCCACTTGTCTGAATTATTTCGCTCAGGTCACCCTTCACTGCCGTTCTATTGATCGAAATGATTTCACGTTGGTCAGCCGTGACCGCCCTCCATTAACTCTCTCTCGCTTCGCTGGTGGACCTTCTGCCATTTCTAAAATTAATTCCATCGGGAGCATCCCCGTCCTTGCGGCCATCAGTTCAGTTGAAATTCTTACAGTGAAAACCACTAATGTTGCGGAATGGTGCAGTGGAGCTCAGTTTTGGCTATCAAATGCAGTAACTTTTAGTATTGCTCGATTATACCTACCTATCGTTCATACCCACCTTTTTTGCTGGAACGGTTTTGCTTAGCTACGTATAATGAAATATTGGATAATCGCACTATGTATAATTCCGATGGCTTTCTTCATCTTCGCATCGAAGTATGTCCTTTCTACGTCGGATATAATGCTAAATATAAATATTTCGCCCGGTTCACAGCCGCCTGTTCTACCTTCGATTCGCAGCTGAAAACAGATATGGCCGGTGCCGGCTGGGGCTCAACACGGGACATTCACGTTATGTGGGGTGATGTCACTCACCAGCTGTGCCGTGGGGTCGGGCGAGGGGGAGGGAGTGGGGGTGATGTTCGAATGCATCGATCATTTCCACATGGTGTTCACCTTTGGCGCGATACTGTTCCCCAGCACCTGTGCTCTGTTTCATACATATTCAGTGTTCTGCGTCAATTCGACTTAACACTGTAGACCTCATGCCGTCCCGCGAAGGTGTTAGACAGATGCGGCGGGCGCCATTCGAACGCTAATACATGATGACTGCTGACGGGCGCAGAGCCTGTCAGCTGTCAAAGATGAACACCCGACCTACAGACAGGCTGACGGCTGCAGAATGGGCTGCCAAGCAGCTCACTAATGTTGACCACAGCCAAGAGAGCTACACACTTCTGCCAGCTCTTGGCCAAGCTCCCCTTCGTGGTGGGTGGTGTCAGCGAACTGGGGACACTCCCCGGCTCTCGCCAGCCAGACAAGGTCACGGTGTGGGATCCGTCAGATTCCTCCATCAATAACACGGCAGCAGTGTTGATCCTTCCGAGTACGTCGCGGCCCGACCGCCACTGGTGATTGATGAGAGCTACTGGGCGCCGGATGAAGAGGACGTGACCTCATGAGGCCGCGATGACGCCGGAGATGACGCCGGTGATGATGACGTTGACGTGACGATGACTAAACGGTGGCGTGCCGTGGTGAACCCTGCACGGTCCAATGGTTGGTTTTTGGAGACGTCGGCCACAGCCCACAGCGTCTCTTAGCTAAGCCCGGAGATGTCACTTTAGAAGTCAACGGAACTGTGAAAGCTGTGGCATTGTATACGGACCATTGGAGTTTTGGACAGAGCTGGGAGACGAAGTGGAGAGAGCTGTTGATGGAACCGAGAGCAAAAGGCTACATACCACCTGATGAGATGGCACAAACAAACAGCTCCGAATAGATGACGCACATCAGCGGCGGAGTGGCTTCACTTCCATGAAATGAAAGGAGATTATTTCCTTATATGGCGTGTGTCACGCTGCGGTAAACCTTGTTTTGTCCTGTGCAACGGTGCAGTAAGGTGTGCAAATTGCAATTAGTGGGAATGGAACGAACGGTCAGCCCAGCGTGAGGGAGATGGAAGATGTTGCTAACCGGGGCCGAGTATACATGCGGCAAGCGCAAAAAAAATTGCTGCTAGACTTATACACCACCTCTCTTCCAAGTTCCATGCGCTCAAATTCACTCACAATGTGACAATAAACAGCCAAATTTGTTGGGCAATTCTCGTCTTATGCCTAACAACGCGTCGTAAAACATTATTAAATCATAATTTGCTGCTCTTAGCTCCCCGTTTTCATCGTTCCCGACCTGAGGGAACAGCCCATTTCGAAGATTTAGAGGTCATAGACCGCAGCCGCGCTTGTTGTTTTTGTGTCTGGCTGCCTGACCGAACTTTGTTTGTCTTTGACTACCCAACACCCCGAACGCCTTTTCGTTTCACTGTCGCCACTCATGACGTCATAAATGCGCGGCGTTTCTGGCACTAGTGATGGGTGGTTTGTTTTCTCCGAATCTCTTTCGGTTGCGGTGGTCGTGGCTAGTAAAACAAACCGTTCGTATTCAAACCAGGCTAAGCTCGGCTCCTAACCTAACTTCTTCAGTTGTGAAGCACTCTTGGCGATTGACATGGCTAATGGTCTACCTAGCACATAATGCGTTATGCGCTGATGTTGGATGAGAATGGGTTACATCTAGACTTTTTCATGATCCATTATTACGCCTTACACGTTTGATGGACAATTAGCAATGTAATTTACGGTCTTGCGTGTCAGGCGGTCACAAAATCATGGTCAAGGTCATGACGGATTCACTTGCGTGCACCGTGCGATTCGTTTCATCACATTGACATGCACTATTTTTTATCTGCATCAGGATCTATTCATCTATAACGGCTTTTCGTACCTGCGGCTACAGACGTTTTTAGCTTTACCTCTTTACTGATATACCTACAGATACCTATTGTCTCATCATGGTTGGTTGAGTCCCCTGATTCCGTCCACAACTTCGGCACCCCGAGATCCGGGTTCTTTCAGAACAGTGACCTTGATCAGAGGGATGAGCCGTTTGTTTTCTGTTACGATTCAACTTTGTCCCGAGAGTGCTGTTGGTGACTGGTTATCTGTAAACTTGGAGTGTTCCATCTATAAGTTCCGAGCTGGCTGGATTCTGTTGTAATTCATGAGTGCTCACTGCTTATCTATCTTGCCGAACCGAGGGACTACATGGGAATTCGTGCTTTGTAGTTCGTAGTGTGTTGAAGCCTCGACAAGCATTAGGCATAGGTACTCGAAATGATTGCATTCATTGGTGACTATTTTTTGGGTAATTTGGTTGATACAATGCAAAATTGGCCGCGGCATACACGACCCTGTCGACTGTAGAAGGGATAGGTACACAGAACACCACTCGTTTGAGGACGGATTTGCCCGCAGTCATATACGGCCTAATCGGCTTCAATTCGTCACCACTTGTCAAGAAGCGGGGACGGCTGCGCGGCCGCAGCCGTGCTTCCATGGTTATTCGCAAACAT